AGCTGCAAAAAAAAAAAAAAAAAAAAAAAAAAAAAGAATCACACTTTTAAGCTGTAAGTGCCTGCAGAGCAAGGGGAAGACAAGCAGAGCAAGCCATGTTTCTGGCCATCCCTTTCCAAAATCCCAGGCTGTCAGGTGTGTCTGCATGGTTTGTGTGAGCTCAGACCTCCAGACAGAGCCTGGCAAAGCTCCTGCTCCAGGTCACTGCGTGTCACTTTTAACCTGCACTGCAGGTTCCTGCTCTGTGAGAAACTCCTACAGCTGCAGTTGGTGAAATTAAATCCCCCCCTTCCCAAGGCACAGCAGGAGAGATGTGAGCAATTCAAACTGACATCTGCAGCTTTTAAAGGAGTCTTAACGCTCAACATGTGAAAGTGGGAAGGGCTTAAAGGAGGTAGCACAGCTCTTTTTTTAGCCAGTTGGGTGTCACTGCAGGGCAACACCTTGGACACAGGAGAAGGAAGAATCTCAGCAGAAAGGAGAGCAATGTGAATTCTGAAAGGAGGAATACAAGGTGGGGTCAGGTGCTGGTGGGCACTGCACAAAGAACTGAAATACCTACTTGAATCTCTAGGAAAATTATTACAGTCCATAGACTTCCACAGATTTAAATTATTTGTGTATTGGAAGCTGCTGAAAGAATGTTTTTTTGCTGAAAGAAGCAGTGTCCAGCAGTGACCACTGTCATTTATGCTTGGGAAGGATGAGGAGGGTCTCTAGGCCCCTGTGAAACTTCCCCCTGAACTGGGGTAAGTTTTTCCTGCTGGAAAATGCCTCAACATTGCCCTTTTACCAGGGCCCCCTTAGACAAAAATCTTACATGGTCTGCAGTGTGCTGTGGATCCACAGGAAAAGTCCAATAGCTTCTGCTCTGCTTGTATTCCAGTGGTACCTCCTATCTCAGACTAAATCTGGGGGTGATTTTTCTTTTTTTAAATGTCTATTGATTTTATGTGACTTCATATAGCACGTCCCTATGAATCAGGGCTCCTAGGTGCTGCAGAATAATTAATACACAATACCCCAAGATATCCTTAAACTGAAAACCTTTCTTCCTTTCAGACCTTCTTCTATTGATTTACTCTTACAGTAGCTGTCTTTTTTATTGGTTTGGTTTTTTAGTATTGGACTTGAGGATACTTAATATCTGCAAATATTTACTCTGAGTTCTTAGTGTATTATGGAACTATTTTTGTCACTTATTTATTGATACCTCCACATGCTGGTTTATGGGGTTTTTGTGGAAAAATGGTATATTGCTATAAACTTCCATCCAGCAGAGAAATCTGAATTGTGTTGAATGTGTTTGCTTAGAATTTGTTGTAAGCATAACTTTTGTTTAAAATGCAGAGACAGTTCCTTCTCCTACTTGCCCTGTTCTGTAGGAAGAACATGTAGTTATCCTGTCAGAAATACAGGTCAGGGATTTGTTAAACTTGACTAAATGTCAGTCTGAATCCCAAAGTGTTCAGTCAGGTGAAAAATCTCATTTAAGTCTTTACTCACGGATTTGGCATCTTAGTGGATTCCTGTTGAGCATGCTTAGAGGTGATATTTCTCACCCACTTGTTGAAAATCCTAATGTTGTTCACTATTTCACGGGTAATCCGCAGTCATAGTGCATTAGAATTTATGTAAAACCCAATTTCTTTGGTAGAATTTCTTGTAACCTGCATAAATAGGAGAGTTTGTAATTAATGTCATTGCAGGTGGATGAGAGAGTGATTGTTGTGTTCCACGTGGTGAAAATCCAAAGCCTTTTGGATTTGCTTTTCAAAGAAAGAGAAGTAAATACGGTTTTTGGCTAGACCAAAAAAAAAAATCTCAGTCCTTCAGGAAATTTTCGACAATTTTAGTAAATAATGAAGAAGAACAACAAAAATGTGGTTGGAACTGGTGGTCAGCTGTAGGTAATGATCTTTATTACTTGACAAAGACTTGAAACACCAGGTCATTTGTGCCACCGTGGATATTAATGAAGGAGTGTGCAAGGATTTGGGCAGCCACAAGGGGGAACATGGTCAGCAGGAACCACTGAAATCTCCTGGCTCTAATCTGCAGTTTCCACCCTTCTGACCTGACCAGCTTTACTGTGGTTATTCCCATACAGAGTCTGCTAACAGAGCTCAGAGTACAACCTGGTGTGTTTTAATGTGACTTTTCTTTTTAACAGCCGAATTTTGTTCTTCAGGGGGATGTACATATATTGGTGACCAATGGTGTTGTCTTAATTAATCTGAAATCGTTGTATACATTAATTATATATGAAAGTAAATCTAAATATTCTGGTGTCCTGGGTTACCCTTTCTGCCTGTGGAGAGCACTGCGTGCTTCACCAGCTAAGATCTTGGAAAGAGCTCTGTAAATATATATTATTTACATTGCATCTCTGAACAGATACTAAGCAGTCCTTGCAGACACTTTTGGGAGCTTGGAGAATTGCTGCTTCATAAGAAGGTTAATGCAGCCCCAGTGCTCTGGTAGCTGTTTTATTGTGCAGTTCAAAAAAAATCCACAGCAAACAACAAGCCAATAATCTGATAACTGTTGTTCCTCTTTGTAATTACATTTAGCTGATAAATCAATAACCTCTTCCAAATTACCAGTTTAAAGTAAAAGTGCCTTTTGCCAATAATCTTTGTGTTTGTTGTCTCTGTGATTTGTTTTTCGCCCCGCTGCTCAAACCCCAAAGGTGATTTTGAAGGACGTGGATTCCCTGCTTTACGTGGACACTGACGTGCTGTTCCTGAGGCCCATCGATGACATCTGGCACCTCCTGAGAGACTTCAACTCCACCCAGCTGGCTGCCATGGCCCCCGAGCACGAGATCCCCAAGATCGGCTGGTACAGCCGCTTCGCCCGTCACCCTTATTACGGCTCCACCGGTGTCAACTCCGGGGTGATGCTGATGAATTTGACACGGATCCGCAGCACTCAGTTCAAGGTGAGAGCAAATGCAGCTGTTGCAGAGGCTCAGGGTTGCTGCGTTTCTCACATCTGCAAGCTCGGTGTAAAATTGCATAAAGTTCGTAAGACAGAGAATCAGAGAAATACAGAAGATGTGGAATTGGATACTAAAAGCTATTGTGAATGTGGTTGTTGAAAAAGTGAAACTTCCTCAAGGCTGGAGCAGTGGGAACTTGCAGCTGGAGCAGTCTGGTAGCAGTGTTAAAAATGGCTTCCCCAACTTACATTTCCATGAAAAGATACATGAAAAAAAAACAACCTCAAAGATCTTCAGTGCAGTCGTTACATTGTTTTTAAAATTGGAAAGCTTGTTGTGAATACCCAGAGAAATTGGTGATTTTTGCATGTGTTGTGAATAGAGTTTTGCATCCTGCTGCAGATAGCTGGTGTAAGTGAGAAGGGCACATATTCATGACAGATCCATGTTGTTGAGCACGTATTCTCTCACCACTGAAACTTTGCTTACCCCAAGTGGTTCCTCAGGCAAGCCAGGAGTTTCCTGCATTGTTACAGGAACAGCTGGGGATAAAAAAAAACAACCCAAACTTTGCACTTACTACTGTAATTCCCAGGGAAGATGATCTTTAGTCTGTAATTTTCCCTGCTTTTATACCTTGATTTTCACCTTGTCCCTGCATTTTCCCACTTGTTCACTTTTTACCCCTCCTGTTACTTGGAATAGGAAGATTGTGAATAGCAGGAGCTGACATCAGAGCTGGGCCCAGGAGACTTTGTTTTCCTGTTTAGATAAACACAGTGAGTTCTGCTGTTACAGCCCTGTCCAAGTCTAACATCTCCTGGCAGATTTGTGTTTTTCACCTGGGTGTCCAACATGGCTTAGCAGAACTTAGAGATTTGTGTGTGCCCACTCTGAGTCAGATCCACAGCACTGATCATGACATTAATCCCTTGCTTCTGTTTTCCTGCCCTGCAGAACAGCTTGATACCAGGTGGCTTGACTTGGGAGGAAATGTTATATCCATTGTACCAAAAGTACAAAAATTACATCACGTGGGGAGACCAGGATTTGCTAAATATAATTTTTTACTTTAACCCAGGTAAGGAATGATTCTCCGTGTTGTCATTATCTGCATTGAGAAAATATCTTGAGCTTGTTTTTTTTTTTTTTT